AAATAGCTCTTTGCTTTCTCAAATGCACAATGTTACAACTAGCAGGCCTTTGGTACAAAACGTATCTAAATAATAATGGAACGTAACCTCCTGTAACTATTTCCAATTTCATTGTTTATTATTAAGGCATTTGTTTATTGCCTCTCATCCTGCTATAAAAACAACTAAAAACGAAGTCATAGTTACATTCTAAACTGGGCTAAGTTATACCTGTTAATATTTTAATGTTCAGTTGTTTAATTGTTTTTAATTTCTATTTTCATGTATTCACATTGTTTTATATTTATGGTTAGCCGCTTTGAATTCCTACATCAGGAGAAAGATGGGATGAAAATAAACTAACTAACTAAATAAACAACTGTATGAATATTGAATTTCTAATGGTTAATTCCATTTTGCAGCAGTTGAGGTATAACTGCATCATACCTGAAATCTAATGAGGAATCATGTAGTATTGCTTGCTGGCTGTCCTGTGTATTTTCCCCTTCTTTATTTTAACAAGTTGTCCTCTAGACTAGATAGAAAACCTGTTCTGTTACATTGTCAGCAGGAGATGTTTCATAGTTGTTATTCTTGTAGTGTTCCTTATAATTGCTTGCACCAAGATTGCAGCATCAGTGAAAGCTGGAATTAGAACAGGCCACCCTGTTCTGTGATCTTGTATTTTTATATGTGTTTGTTGTTTTTATACTTATGTTGCTGTTTTATATGCTTATGTATTATTTGTTATGTACTGCACTTTGGAGTGCTTTTGTGAGCCGCCGCGAGTCCTTTCAGGGAGATGGTGGTGGGGTATAAACAAAGATTATTATTATTATTATTATTATTATTATTATTATTATTCATTTTTAGAACAGTAACCTAGAGCAAAAAATCCTTGCTCAGCTCCCATTGAAAGAACTGACCAAACCACCCCAAGTGACATCTTGTTGAGTTAGTTTGTTGATCTCTGTAAGGTTTAGCAATCTGAAAAGCCTTTCCCTGTGGAGTAGATATTGCCCGCATTCTTGAAGAAGCAGGAGAGGTGGCCAACTGGTGTCTTTGATGCAAAAAGAATTAGGTTCTCCATTGAGATGATTTAAATGATTAGCTGCCTTGAACCCTCAGTTTCCTATGACAGATGGACACATTCAGGTGATCAAACTCTTCATTCCTGCCTTCACAGAAGTAAACCAGTAACTACATATAAACAGTTCCTGGGTTGTTGTAGGTTTTTTCGGGCTATATGGCCATGTTCTAGAGGCATTCTCTCCTGACGTTTCGCTGCATCTATGGCAAGCATCCTCACTACCTCTGAGGATGCTTGCCATAGATGCAGGCAAAACGCCAGGAGAGAATGCCTCTAGAACATGGCCATATAGCCCAAAAAAACCTACAACAACCGTGATTCCAGCCATGAAAGCCTTCGACAAACAGTTCCTGGTTCAGGTGATATGTGAATCTATGACTAAGGGCGTCCAGACAATCTACACACCAAGTCAAAATTTACAGTTATTTTCTATATCCTCACTTGTTTGAAAGGCATCAAGTTTTTAGATGCTATAAAAGGTAAAGGTTTCCACTGACATTAAGTCTAATCATGTCTGGGTGGTGCTCATCTCCATTTCTAAGCCGAAGAGCTGGTGTTGTCCGTAGACACCTCCAAGGTCATGTGGCCAGTATGACTGCATGCAGCACCATTACCTTCTTGCAGAAGCGGTACCTATTGATCTACTCACATTTGCATGTTTTCAAACTGCTAGGCTGGCAGAAGCTGGGCCTAACAGTGGGAGCTCATCCTGATCCTCGGATTCGAACCGCCAACCTTTTGGTCAGCAAGTTCAGCAGCTCAGTGGTTTAACCTGCTGCAATTCCTGGTTAATTTTGTCACTTGTGCAAATTTGTTGGTCCTTGAAGACTGTTCATATTTTAGGTTTATTATTATGAGATCTTGATGGTCCAAATATGGCAATTTTTTTTACTTTTGTGCAAAATGATTTCAATAATAGATGAGGAATGAGCTAAGAATAAGTTGCCTTATTACATAGCTTATTTGATCTTCCTTTAAGCAAGAACGCGCAGTGAAAATGATCCACTAGAACCTCAAAGTATGACTGTCGTTTTACAATACAGCATGAAACATGCTGACCACAGAATTCTTTAGTTTTTTACTACTAAAAAGAACCATCCAATTTCTTTAGGAAGAAAATCCAAATTAAACACTCTAAGCAGCTATCATCTTTCTTAAACATTAGCACTAAGAACATATTTAATTATTGTTGCTAAAAGATAGAAATAGAACTGAGGAGTAAATTTAGAGCAGCAATTGCTTTGTGTAATGCAATACACAATTAAAGCAGACAAAGGAAGTAACTCCACACACAGGCCCTAATTTAGAAGCCAACATTTCCACTGGTGTTTTTGATTAAGCACAGTATTCTTTGCTTCTCTTATGCTGACACCTCTGTTGTATTCAACCGACAGCCATAAACAAAGATAACAACTCAGATCAGACATCTGTTATTTCCAGTTCACATCCCTTGTTCCCTTGTGAGCAGAAAAGTTTACCTTATGCTCTGGGAATCCTAATCTTGTGAAATGGCACCCCCCACAAAAAAAACACAATGATTTGCTGCTACATCAACACAGAAACTTCCCAATTCTGATTACCTGCTTTTTAATAGTCAAGAGTATTGGAAAACTAGCTGCACATTAATGAGTACTGAGCCAGATAAGAACAGATGGGTTTAGGAAGCTGGCAAAATCCTTCCCACAACAAAGCAAGCAGCTGCTGCTTTAACTCCACAAACTCTAAATTAGATCCTTGGGTAGACTGTATGCAACACGATCATGAGTTCCCTTTCTCTGTTTTTGTTCTTAGTTTCCCTTGTAGAAGAAAGGCAAGAAATTCAACACAGTAAGCACAACTTGGTTGGATTTTACCCTATGCCAGTGGTTTTCAACCTATTTGTACTCATACACAAAGTCCCTGTCCAGTGTCCTTCATGTAAATGGCATAGAGCAGTAGTTCTCAACCTGTGGGTCCCCAGATGTTTTAGCTTTCAAGTCCCAGAAATCCTAACAGCTGGTAAACTGGATGGAATTTCTGGGAGTTGTAGTTCAAAACACATGAGTACAAATCAAACGTCTTTATTGTAAAAGCCTGGTCCAGGGAATCAGAATAAATTATGTGTTGCTGTGTTCCTTCAAGTCATTTCTGACCTATGCTGACCCTAAGGTGAACCTATCACAGGGTTTTCTTGAGCTGAGACTGTGCGACTCACCCCAGGTTGCAGGTTCATTACACAAAACAAAGCGTGCTTGACTGTATTTTCTTATACTGCATTACTTATTCTACTTCCTAAGGTACAGAGAAAATAACTATTTATGGCATCATTTGAATGGCAAACCTACTAATTCCCTTTTTCATTCTGTAGGTTTAACTAATGAATGCACTCTCTACTGAAACACACACACACCTATTTAGTTATTGGGATTGGAGCCACATGTGGCAAACTTGTCTAAAAGTACAAACATTCTGGGGTGAAGTTCAAACACAGATAAGCAAATAGTGGGAGAAACAGTATACTTCAGGAGCTCTACTAATGATGTCTGTATTTGAAAATAAGAATAAGGATTTATTTATTTTTTATTTACCACATTTATATCCCGCCCTTCTCAACGTCAAAGGGGACTCAGGGCGGCAAGGCAACAATTCAATGCCACATATTAATACATCGGGAAATAAACAAAAATGTTAAAAACACAGCATTAGAACATCAATTAAAATCTCATGATCCAAATCATATTCCAGTGCTGGACTGAGTCATCATTATATTAATTTGTAGTCTCATATTGCACTACTCCCATTACTGGCTGAAAGCCTGATTCCAGAGCCATGTTTTCAGTTTTCCCCTGAAGGTCAGGAGGGATGGGACAGATCTAATTTCCCTGAGGAGGGAGTTCAATAGGCGAGGGGCCACCAATGAGAAGGCCTTGTCTCTCATCACCTCCAGTCATGCTTGTGAGGGGGGACCTCACCCAATGATCTTAAACTCTGAGGTGGGTCATAGGGGATAGGTAAGCTGGGCCAGAACCGTTTATAGGCTAAAGCCAGCACTTTTAATTGTGCTCGGAAGCAGATTGGCAGCCAGTGGAGCTGACGTAACCGGGGAGTTCTGTGCTCCCTGTACACTGGGAGCACCAGATTGCTTACTTTGGTAAGCAATCTGGCTGCTGCCCGTTGGACCATTTGAAGCTTCTGAACAGTCTTCAAAGGCAACCCCATATAGAGCACATTGCAGTAATCTATTCTCGATATAATGAAAACTTACATTATTCATGCTATGTGCAGCAAAACACAAAATAGTCATAACCTGGAAAAAGCTAGAGAATCTGTCAATACAGAATTTGTTAAATAGTGTATAGGCTATAGCCCTTTCGAAAAAGATAATTTATAAACTAAGATTAGCACAAAAAAAAGTAGAAGGTCAATTTGATAATACAAGGAAGATATTAATTAGCTTTATGTGTAAAACTAATGGTGAATTCAAAACACCAAATGATCAAGAAAGAATATGGATGAATAATTAGAAAACATATGACAATAATTATATGTAATGGATGAAATAAGAATAAGCAGTAGTATAGAACTGATAGAGCTGTATTGTGAATAATGGGGTAGGGTAGGGTAGGGGTGGGGTGGGGTGGGGTGGGGGTATAGATCTGGGAATAGATGATGTAGAAAGACAACTGAATTATGTAAAATGCTTTGAAATAAGTGAAAATAAAAAATGAAAAAATTATAGCGTACTTTAATAAAAAAGAAAAAAGATGCTTTAAAAAACCTGGTGGTTTTCCTTTTGCTTGCCAATGAACACTGTAATTCCCAGGATGTGGATTTCTGTATTTAGTAGCAAATGTGCTATTTTTGTGTAAGCTTGTGCATCACAAAACACGCACAGATCAGCAGTTAATTGACAAAGAACTGGAACCCTCACCCACTTCATTATTCCACTAACCTGTCCTACGTTGAATGTCAACGTGATGGCATAATAGAAATTTGAGTTTGCGCTTCCTGCGTAAATCCAGAGATGCCATAAAACAGGGAAGAGCAGGGAACAGACAATGAGTACACAGGAAAGGATGAAGACGTTCCGTAGGACTGTAACAAAAAGCAGAGGCATAATTAATGTTTGTTAACTAATATACAAATGAGTTTTGTGCTATATCAGTTGAAATAGTGTGGCAGATACTAATTTAGAGGGTGGTTCCAGAGACAGCTGCTAAAGAAATTCCTCTCCTTAGAATCAATAATTAACTGCAATTCCTGTGGGAAGTGAAAGCTTTGACAGGTTTGTTCTCTACTGATCTCACAGCTTCATAGTTCCCCGCTTTCCCTCCTTAGATTTCTAAAAACAGGTACAAAATAAAATTTACATTTAAATGCACAGTAATGTCAGAACATGACTATTCTAACAAAGTATTTTTATTACCTTATTTCCAGTATTTACATTCAAGTTGAGTACCGTATATACTTGAGTATAAGCCGACCTGAATATAAGCCAAGGCACCTAATTTTACCACAAAAAACTGGGAAAACTTATTGACTCGAGTATAAGCCGAGGATGGAAAATGCAGCAGCTACTGGTAAATTTCAAAAATAAAATAGATACCAATAATAATAATAATAATAATAATAATAATAATAATATAACTTCATTTGTATCCCGCCCTATCTCCCCATGGAGACTCAAGCCAGCTTCCAACATAGTAACAGGCAAACATTCAGTGCCTATATAAACAATGCATAGCTATATATAGATCTATAATTCCATATACTAATTTCACATATGCATTTTCCCCTGAAACATTTGCAAATCCTCTCTCTAGATACGTACATTGGCCTCCCGCAAATATTTGCAAGCCCTATATATCTATATTCATATACATCTATCTAAACATCTTTCTATATAGGATTTGCAAAGACTTACAAATATCAGAGGGGAAAATTCATATATAAAATTATACACACACACATATACAGATATAAGTAACTCTCTCTATATATATTTGGTATGTATATAGGATTTGCAGAGACTTGCAAACATGTGAGAGGAAAATTCATATTAAAATATTGTATACATATACAGATACAGATATACAGGTATACAGAAATCTCTAGATATCTATATGTATATAGGATTTGCAATGACCTGCAAACATATGAGGGGGAAACTTCCAAGGGAACAAAAAAAAAAAACACATATAAAGTTAATACATTTAGTTACATTAAAAAGGCCAAGAAATTGGGTGGGTTTGAAAGAGAGCCATACAAACAAAGAGGACATGAAATATATCTCCTTTCCCTCATTCCCTCCCTTTTGACTGGAAAAGAAAACACACTGTCAAGGGAAATGAAGCAGAGAGAGAAATATATCATATATTTCAAGCAATGGCTTGAACCCATTATAAGCCAAGAGAGACGTTTTCAGTTCAAAAAAGGGCTGAAAAAACTCAACTTATCTTATTTATTATTTACAGCATTTATATACCGCTTTTCTCACCCCTAGGGGGACTTATCTTCAAGTATATACAGTACTCCTTATTCAGAATTCCAATATCCAAAATCCTACAATAGTCAAAATTGTCCACATAGGTGGCTAAAATGATCCAGTGTACACAAACTTCATTTTATGCACATTTAAAATAATGTTTTGCATGTGTATAAGATGTATATTAAAAATATATTATGTGTTCAGACTTAGTATCCATCTTGATTATATCCATACAAATATACAAAAATCATAATAATAATAATAATAATAATAATAATAATAATAATATAGAGCACTTCTGGTTCCAAGCGTTTCAAATAAGGGATACTAACAAAAGACCTTTTAACAAAATAAAATCCCAAAAAGTCTTCAGAGAGAAAAGCAGGTTATGCCTTGGATCTATACAGTCTAAAATAGATCCATTCAATTCTTAAAGGCATACAGGATGTTTCATGTACTTCCTAAAAATGACCACATAATGTCATAACTGAAGATCTCAAAGAAAAAAAAACCTACAACAATTGTTTGTTATGTGTACAATAAAAACTATTTGAACAAGGTATTTCATTTTGAAATTTTCTCTTCCAAAACTGGAACATGGGCACACTTTCATTGATTTTCCACAGGTGGATTTACAAAAAGGGCAGCAGCACTTCTGGCCCAGCTCCTGTTCTTCATGAATGGTCGGATATTTCCCTTGTTAGATGCAAAAATCACTTTCTGTGGGATGGTAATGTTTAATCAGTGAAGTGCAAAATCAAACTACTTCAGAAGTTTCCAGGTTTAAACAAGTGCCCTGCTTGGTTGAGATTTTTTTTAAGACATTTAAGTCAAATATATAAATTACAGGTAACAAGTACCATATTAAACATGGCATTCTCCTTCTTTTACATGTAAGAAGAAACTCCTCTTCTAATCCCCAAACCAGCTGTACCAGAAACCAGCTCCACTGAAGAGTGAGCTAAACTGAAACAGGCTGACACAATCCAGCACAGCTTGCTGGTTTTGAGCACACTGCAGGCAATTCACTCCAGGAAATTAAATGAAAAACACTCTGTAGCTCACGGTACAGACAGAGTGAATCTGCTGGATCTCTGGCCTCTGTAAATGCAATCTACAAACATACAGACCAAAGAAGAACAAGTGCCAATTGCAAGAGATATAGTTAAGTAATCAGAGTGATGGTTATGTGCTAGACTTCTGTTCTGCAATAAAAGCGCTCCTGCTTGATTTAGAGGACAGCCAATATGAAAAAAAAATTCAGATCCCAAGGATTTGATTGGGAGACTTACACATGTGCTTTACGATAGTTCGCTCCTACTTGAAATCTACATATTCAGAACCTTGAGTGATTTGAAGCTTCCAATTTTAACATTATTTAATGCTCACTTTTTGGATGATGGTTCACTAAATCAGTGAACTTTTCAACTCAGAATCCTCTTTGGCCTAAGAAATTTTTATATAATTTTTGTACCTGTAGATAAAACAGATATAAAAATCAAACGTTTACCAGTAACAAATCAGTGTTGCTAAACAGCCTGATTTTTCCTTTTTATGAAGTGCAGCTGAAGCATCTTCTGCAGAGTCCACTGTAAACACTGATATTCAGAAAATTCTGACTGTTGCCAAATTTTTCAGGACCCCAACTTTGAGCTAAGGGGATCCCAGCTGAGGATATATTCAATGGTTTCATCAGCTTCCTTGCACAGTCTGCATTTTTGGTCATCTGCTGATTTTTCAATCCTGGCCTTAATTGCATTTGTTCTGATGGCTTGCTCCTGGGCTGCAAGAATCAGGCCTTCTGTCTCCTTCAGTGTTCCATTCGTGAGCCATAACCACGTTTTCTCCTTATCAACTTTTCCTTCAATTTTGTCAAGGAACTATCCATGCAATACTTTGTTGTGCCAGCTGTCAGCTCTGGTTTGTAGTGCAGTTTTCTTGTACTGAATCTTTGTCTGTTGTGCTTTGAGAAGTTTCTGATTGCTGACTTCAATTAAAGCAGGTTCTTTCTAGGCAGATAGAGCTGGTCAACATCACTGCAAGGATGTAATGAATTATGAATGGTCATCAGTTTTCTTGTTTTTCTGCCTGCATCCAGTTAATGATGCCAGCAGTATATCTTATGACAGGTATGGCCCAGGTGTTTATGGCCTTGATGGTATTGCCTCCACTGAGCTTGCTTTTGAGAATTATTATTATTATCATCATCATCATTATTATTCCTTCGCTTTATTTTCACTGAAGGGGACTTAAAGACATTAGAGCTCTCCAGCAGTGAATATCCTGGATTTCAAAACAAGGAACTTACATTGATAGAGGTGGCTCCAGAGTGGAAGGAAAGCCATGTAGAGGGCAATATCTCCTACAGTTGGATAGGACTTGAAGATGGAAATGATGGCAAGCTGAACAAACATGAAGAACATGGGGTGCTCCCTAGAAAAGTAACAAAGAAGACTGTAAGCAATTGCATAATGATACATGTTATGGAAAGCACTGGTTTCACCTATTAAACTTTTTGAGAAATGTTACGTCATGGCCATATCCATGCAACAAACTCAGGAAAACTAAAACATTTAGTACAAGTTTACACCATTTTGAGGATTATGCCTGAATGTTCCACTCCAGCAGAGGTCTTTGCTATGGAATGTTATGTTGCAGCAGAATCAATGAGATGGATGTTTTGGGATTATTATTTTTTAAACATAAAAGCGTATTTAAAGTATGACTTCTTATCTCTCCTTTAAGAACTCAATCTCTGCCATATTGCTATCACAATTTTACCATCATACCTCTCACTCAAGCCTAACAGACCATTTCTCCTTCTTGCCATAAGGAAACCTGGTGGCAAGCAGTTAGGTATACAGAGATGGAGTACATTTATCCCTGAGATGGCAGACCAAACTGACTTAAATTACAACCTAACATAACTAAAATACACAACAGCCATAGAGTGTGTGTTTTCATGGACACATATCCCTGTATTTCAGAGAAGATGCAAACTCTTAGATTGCTTACCCCCTCCAAATGAAGTTCCGATTTCTATGTGTATTTAAATCACTATTTTTATGGTAGTCATAAAGCTAAAATGCCATTATTTGTTCCAGATACTAAATTATTTAGAGCGGTTGAAGTAAAAATAGGACAGTACACAGATTCAAAAGACTCTCTCAGATTGGGGGAGTCAACAACAAAATGACAAATGCAGGTTAGTACAAGCAAGTATAAACTGATACAGACCAAGGAGAAAAATCCCAGCTTCTACACATATACCTATGAGGTTGGAGCTGATAGATAACAACAAGCAAAAACATCTTGAAAGTATAGTAGATATAAAAATGACAGCTTTCTGGTAGTTTTGAAAAAAAAATGCTTTGTTGGGGAACATTAGAAAAGAAAAGAAACATCCCAGAACCATAACGCCTTTCTACAAATTTACACTGTGGCTATATTTAGATAGTCTCCATATATAAACAGGAATAATATAGAGATGGAAAAGGTGCAGAAAACAGCATCAAAAGATCCACTGTCTTTTGTCTGGTTGAACAACTGAAATCTGAAACAAAGGTACTAAAGCAGTGGGATTGGCCGAATGACACTAAATGTGGCCTCATTTCTAGTGCATATGTTATACAATCATTCCCCCTTATTCAGATTTTGTATCCACAAATTCAACCATCCATGGCTTGAAAATATTTTATCAAAAATCTCAAAAGCATTTCTGTTTTATATAACGGGGTATTGAACTCATTTTCACTGAGGACCACATGCGCTTTATGATTGCCCACAAAGGGCCATTTGGAATTGTAATACTGTATAAATGTAACTATGTTGCCCTGACATTTCATGGGACACATGAAATGCCATGGGGTCTGCATTCAGTCCGCAGGCCTTGCATTTGACATATGTATGATATAAGGAACACCGTTTTATTATACCAACATATATTTTGGTATCCACAAGGGTTCAGGAATCAAATACCAACACCCACAGTATTTGTTTTCCATCCTCAATCAAGAAACTCCCATGAAGCTATCTCCATTTTAGCCTTGCATACAAACCACTGACTAGGTAAATGTGAGACTGGATCAACTCAGCCAAATAATGCATTTTGAACCCTTATAATTCAGTTCAGTGCAGTTCAAGCTACATTATTTGGATCTACACTGACCATATAGTGCAGTTCAAACTGCATTATTGGACAGTGTAGATCCAGACTCAAAGACCATAACTTCCCTAAGGTTACCCAATAAGCTTCACTGACCAAGTACATGTGTTTCCTTTCCGTGTACTGAAAAAAACAGCTGGAAGTTGACTGACCTGTTATTATGACAGAGCAAAAATGACGCCTAGAAATGGAGTCATACCCCTTTGCAGCCATATCCCTTTCAAAGAAGTGGTCTTATAGCGTATGTTGCAATGTACATGAAGCTGGTCTTATAGCGTATGTTGCAATGTTACGAGAGGGAGAGGCAGGAAGTAAACAGCAAAAACAAAAACAGCCTCATGAAACATCTTGGCATGAACAGGTTGATCAGTTGCTGGAAAGTAAAAATGTGGCCTGAAAGAGACCAAGTGTGCTACCTTCAAGGAGAGTGGCATTATGGAGATGTCACTACACTGAAATCACAGCAGAGAATCACATGAGTCCCTACCATACTATTCTTAGCTTCCCATGCATGTGGAATGTACACAATGTGGCATGGTTCCAGCTAAGAAGAAAGACTGAAATGGATCAGCTAAGACTCAAAATTAACAGATCAATAATAATGTGGAGTACAGACTCCTCTATACTGATACATAAGTAAAAAATACCCTAGACCTTGCTACTTCTGCGTGGGAGACATGTGTTAAGGCAGGTAAATTTGTTTTAAGGTCCATTCAGTCCCTACTGAAGTAGCTGTTGCCTACCCACAACACTGCTAAAGGGAATTATATTGTATTTTCTTGAACATTACCAAGGGAGAAAATTCTATGTTCTTGCTCCTAGACAGTGGAAATGCTGTTCTTTTCCATAAGAAAACCCCAAACCTTAATTTTAAGCCACTTTCTGGTTGTTTTGGTTCTACTTGTCCTGAATGGCTACATAAATTTGTGTTCCTGACATCCTTGAGGCAGAGTACAAAGCTCCTCAGCAGCAGCACCTTATTTACATGTGATAATAAGATCTTTTTATAGCTTCTCTTATTTTAGAAATAGGAAAAAGAAAAGGGAGGAGGAGACAGAACTTGACAAACAAAAAAGGACAAACTGATTCTCTTGGATGAATTGGAGGAACTTAAAACTATAAATAAAAACTAGTTGCTTTTGCAACATTGTCTTCTTTCACTTCTATGCAATCAGTACTTCCTTGAAATTCTTTGGATTTATTGTCATGTTCAAGGAATGAAGTATTAAAATGAACCAACAATTCTTGGAAATATCAGGAGCTCTTGACTCATCTTTTTAAAGTAAACATCTCATAAGTGTTCATTCCAGCGCACAGGAAACAAACTACAGGCAATCCCCAAGTTTTATTGTTGCTCATTCATTCAATCATTTCCAACTCTTCATGAACTTATGAACCAGCCCACGGCAGAGCTCCCTGTCGGTCGTGGCCACCCCCAGCTCCTTCAGAGTCAAGCCAGTCACCATCCATCCATCTTGACTTTGGTCGGCCCCTCTTCCTTTTTCCTTCCTTTTTCCCCAGCAGCATTATCTTCCCCAAGCTTTCCTGATTTCTCATTATGTGGCCAAAATACTTCATCTTTCGGAAACCCTCAATATAGTAAGACTGCACAGAAATTGTTGCACTTCACATGGAACCAGCCTTTATATTCAGTAGCAAACAGGATCAATTATTCTGCTTCACAAAATGTCATCTTGCTGAGCCAGAACATATACCCTTAGGTCACTTATGAGTGAAAGATGGCCATAGGTCAGTTTGCTATAATCTCATCCTGACAGATAAGACATTTAGTACCTTAAATTTTGTTCTTTACAATGTATTATACTGGGACAAAAATAGCTCACCCTGCTTTGTGGGTGGACCATGATCTCAGGATTTTTTGTGTGTGTCAGGAGCAACATGAGAAACTGCAAGTCGCTTCTGGTGTGAAAGAATTGGCCGTCTGCAAGGATGTTGCCCAGGAGATGCCTGGATGATTTGATGTTTTACCATCCTTATAGGAGGCTTCTCTCATGTTCCCACATGGGGAGCTGGAACTGACAGAGGGAGCTCAACCCACTCTCCCCAGATTCGCCCACTGATCTGTTGCTCAACAGTCCTGCCGACACAAGGTTTAACCCATTGTACCACTGGGGGCTCATCTCAGAATAACCAATGAGAATGCTCAGTTGAGGAACTTCTCTCTCTATTAATAGGTAGCAAAGCAGAAAATGCTGCTTGGAAGGACCAAGCCAAGGCATTATGATGTACTATTGGGCATGTGGCTTGGTTACGTGAGCACCCAGCTTGGTAACATTTCTACTCAGGATAAAATGTGAGGCAGCCACTTTTCCCTCAGCGTAGAAATTGCAGAAGGTCTGCCAACCAAGGACTTTCTCACTATGCAACAGAATAAGAGATAAACCTATTTGTTGTTACTTCTAAAGCAGAGAATCAGATAAGACAACTATTAGATAGTTTATCATGTATTGTAAAATGTCTTTGCAAGAGCTATTGCAGAACCTAAGTGACAAAGCCTGGCTTATCTGTTGAGGGAAATACCCCTTCTCTGGCAGACATTTCCCCCAGTGACTTTTTTTGTTATTGGGGTAGAAAATTATTTGCTAATACCCAATAGTGTTTGGTCTTTGTGCAAATCCACATCCAATTTTTTAAAGGTTCACAACAAATGTTCTTATCCTAAATTGGAAATAACAGTGGCTATATTTTTAGGATATAGAACCTTTCCTCTTTTTTTCTGGAGTACAAAGGGTCAACTACACAAAACAAATTGTCTGCCTCAAAAAAAAAACCCCATTGGTTTCTATCTCTGCTTTTTCTACTGTAGAATAGGCTTTCTTTCACACTCAGCAATGAATAAATCATTCACTTACTTTAGTTTCACTGCCAGGGGAATGGTGTAGAAGAAGACATTGATCTGAAATACGCATACAAAAAAGAGGCTGAAGTGCTCAAACATTTCAGCAAAAAAGTACCAAAAGAGGCCAACATTGGGAGTCAGGTCTGGAACAGAAAGTCTGGAATTGACAAAAGAATGTCACAGTTACTGAATGGTCATATAGCAGACTCAGAAATGATTTGTATACAACATAATATTTAAAAGGCACAGCGAGAAATTGATTTTCTCAGTGACTCAGTTGCCTCTCCCAGTTAGGCATTTACAGCTCAAATTCAACTCCAAATGTACTCCTGTGGGAAAACACTGACATCTATTGGTCTTAAAAGCAAATTCAAGGAAAAGATAGCATTGCCTAAGGTTAGGTAAATAACAACAATTATGCATATAGAACATAATTCATTTAACTGGTTGCATCTCTTCACTTTCATCAATCTCCTGCACTATGTATTCCGTTTGAAATATTTAAAAATTGTGTGGCTTTTGGCATATTTTTATGCCACAAGAATGTGAAGGCATATTTTTGTTGTTTAAAACTGCTTATTTTATGTTTTATACTTATTATTAATGCATATGGATTGTTGTTTACATGATTTTAATACATTGTAAGCTGCTTTGGGTTCCGTGAGGAGAAAAGCGTGAAATACATAAAGATTTATTATTATTATTATTATTATTCTCATATTATTTTAAGAAACATGTGTAAGGAAGCACAGGGGAATGCAAAGACATCAATCAAATAATGTAGTTCAAACCCTGATTCTATAGCAAAATATCGCATCAGCTGAGGTTACTTGCTAGATGCCGAAATATTCTTTTAAGAAAAAGCTACCCAAATTGTTTTGCATTATATAATGCACTATCTGTCCACAACCTCTACGATATTCATCACAACTATAAACATCTTATCCAAATATTACTGTATGAAATTTATATTTAAAATTTCAATACAGTTTTAGATAATATACAAATATATCTGAGCTTCTGCTGAACACGAGAGCTTGATTTGGTTTACTGTAATTATTCTCTGGTTTTGTATTATGACCTAACAGTTTAGGAAAGACACTACTGATTTATATGCCAGATAGAACTAATGCAGACAAATAGCTTCTACTCACATGAAACCATAAACAGATGGAATAAAATCCCAAGAGTTGAGAAGGAAGAATGACAGGCAAATAATTACAATCAGACTTCCCAAATACAGTCCTGTATACTGTATGGTATAGAGCCAGAAGTCTTTGTTTTTCATTTTCACTGGTATGAACTGCCGCTAGAGGAGAAAAAAATAGAGTCAGTTTCTGAAATGTCACAATTTCTTATATCTCATAATTTCACTGGTATGAGATGTCCTTATTTTTAAGATTTGGCCTCTTTACTTTTGGTATTGTTAAGAGAAGTCAAAGGACAGTGCATTAATCAAGACAAGAGGCATATAAATGTAAAACTTGGAAATTAATGTATTCTATAGCTAAGAGATAGGACTATGAATCTGGATTTTGGAATACTTGCGTGTGTGTTTGTGTATGTGTGTATGTATGTGTGTATACATAATATGAGATATTTTGGAGATGGAACCCAAGTTCAAATTTGAAATTGACTTATATTTCTTATTTAATGTTCTCAATTAAGTTGATTCATAATTGAGAAAACACTTGTATTTCAGTAACAAATGTCAAAATGAGTTAATGAAAGTGGAATATACTTGTTTTCTGCAGGACCAGCAGAGGGCTGATCCACTGTTAGTATCAGTCCATGGTTCTCTGTCCTTAGAGGGATATGTGATACATGAATAATTAAAGATTCCATCAGCATTTGACTTCCTGAATGACTCAGATTAACATTCACATAAGGAGAAACTAGATACTGTCAGCAACCACAACTTGCCTTTCTCCCAAAGAGGCAAGCAAAATGAAATATTTGCAAAAATACAGTTTTTTCCTGGTCTTGGAGGATTCAAGGGACAGGCCTGCCATCAAATGCCTCCTAAAAAATTAAGAGATTAGCAGAGCCAAAAGGTTAGTGTTTCATAATTTGCTCAGTGAAGTTTATCAAAAAAGAAAAAAAATGCTGTGTTTCAGTGAAGATAGCCTGCTTTCCGATTCTAACCATCTGACTACCAGCTGCCAGCTTTACAAACTGCTAATAGCCCTACCACTGCAGTATAAGTCAATTCATATTTGCTAGCCTTTTTTAACTGATAGATAAGAAATATATTACAAGGAAGATTTTTTTTAAAAAATCTCTAGAATATTTACCTGTAATAAATACAGAAGGGCTGGTGCAAACAAAGTGAGTGGGTACAAGGATTGGTACGTTGCTACAGCGAGAAATATGGCACTTAGGAAGGCACTACCTACAAAACAAGAAATCAATATCAATGTAACATATAGTAACTCTAAGATGTTACATATCTAAACAGGATTTTAAAATAGATGTTTCTGATCAGCACAAAAGACAACCTTGAGGAATTTAATGTCCTTCAATACTCAGGACTACTTTGGGCAGACACAAAAATTACTGGTATATCTGGAAACTGGTTTTCAATAAGGAAAAAGCACATTTTATGTATATTTGCATTTAATAATAATAACTTTATTCATATACCCCCATCACCATCTTCCCGAAGAGACTCGGGCGGCTTACATATGGGACAAAAGGTTCATAGGGGAAGATACAATCATGAAGATAGGTGGGGCCCAAACCATTTAGGGCTTTGAATTGGGACCGGAAACTTATCGGCAGCCAGTGGAGCTGCTTTAATAGATCAGGCTTCTTGAGGTACGGTAACAGCTGGTGCACAAGCTTTAATTGTGCGAAGGCCTTCCCGCCACCACTAACACCTGGGCATCAAGCATCAGCACTGAATCCAGGAGGATCCCCAGAATGCGTACCTGTGTCCTCAGGGCGAGTGTAACCCTGTAAAGCACAAGTTGCTATCCTATACCCCAACTGGCTTTGTGATGACCAGTAGGACTTGTCTTGTCTGGATTATGCTTCAGGTTGTTAGCCCTCATCCAGTCCATCACGGCTGCCAAGCACTGGTCCAGGCTCAGTGTCTGGACCAGAGCCAGCGCTGTTTCTATATATTAGAGCCCCAAACCCACAATGTTGATCTTAGTGAACATAGCATCATTAATATCAGTAAAGCTCTCTATGAACATGAAGAGGTGCTCAGTCTTTCAAGGCATCTTGCTATACCATTTTTCCTCCAAGATCCAATAAATAGGTTTAATCTAAAAGGAAATGGACACGTGGCTTGTTTGCAACCTCAGTCTTATAAATTCCAAGGATGTGTTTAAACTTCCCAACAAATTTTAGTCAAAACCAACAACTATGGTATTTCGGTAAGAGCAGGTGAACATGTAACAAAAAGGTGATGCTGCAGTGACTTTTTTATTAATAAAAATTAATGGAATAAGTAGTTCACCTTCTACAATATAAAAAGCACCAGAATAATTTATATTTTTAAAAGTCGTACCAGGCTGTATAATTATTACATAATTATATTTAAAAGAGTTATTAAACTAACCCTACATATCTATAACATGTATCAGACATTAACATGGAATTAAGTGAGGATGTTCTCCTGACAGGAAATGTTTTTGTCATAGGTGATAGTTGTGGATTTTCTTCCTCTCTCAAACAGTCTTCCCATGAAAAGATGCTCTGAAAGGCTGGAAATCCCATTCAAAGAGGTTTTTGGGCTATGTAAATGGCTGCATGAAGGAGGGGTAAGAAAGCCCCATCATCCTGGCAAGATGTCACTAACATGATGTTGGATTCAGGCCAATGCTTTTAATGGGAATATTTAAATATTGCACCTTCGAAATCATCCAGTATTTTGGCAGAAACATTAGTTTGGATATGAAATAGCTGATGGAAAGCCAGCTGAGTTCCAATTCAACTACATTGAATGTGATGATCTTGTGCAGCTAGGTGTCTTTGCTGAACTGTAGACTGCTTTTGATGTACTTTTTCTCAGCAGACTTAATTTTTTACCCCGTGTGGCTGTATTTTAAGATAGCATTAATGAGCACCTACAATACTGTAGAAAGCAGAAGCCTAGGCTCGGAAAAGCCTCTCAAATTCCCTTCTATTATTTAGCCAAGATCACAAAGAACACCTGAAAATTACAGAGCCAATATACTGTACTTTCAGAACCACAAACGAATTTGGTCTAGTTGGTCTGACATCTCAGTTACAAACCTTCTTGTACTCAGTTGTTACATAGGAGAAACAAAAGGAGATACATTTCTCGAGCAGATTACCTTTTATTGTTGCCAAAATGAAGAATGCAATTACAGCATTGTTGATAGCACAAGTGGACTTTGCAACACAAGACATCACAGTGTATGGATTTAAAAGATAACTGAAAAAGAAAAGACATCCAAAGTCAAAATTTCATAATGCCTGCTCACTCTCTTTCCTTTCACATTTCCCTTCGGACACACCTCAGCCATCAGAATTTCCTATTAATTTTCATCTTCAGCAGACACAGACCCTGAGTAAAGTAATTATACTTGTGCACATCCATGTCTTGCTGCCATTTTCAACAACAAATGGATAACCATTTGCTTAGAGGAGATAAAAGTATTTTTTCACATCTTACTCTATTAAGTACCTTGTTCATTAATAATCCTGTATAAAATAAATTTGCAGCAGAAGCTGAGGAATGAAGAATGCCAGGCAATCACAATTCTGTCATCTCATTTTGATGCCTTATCATCTCAGACTTTAAACTGAAATGGCATTTTTGGGGATCTGCCAATATAAATTTCACTCTTGCAAACAAATTTCATTATTTCTCAGCATAGCAAAAGACAATTTCAGGAGTTGAAGAAGGAAAGAGAAACATTTAAGTATAACCTTATTTTAAAGGAGAAAGAATGGGTGCTGCCTTTTGAATAAACATGGTTTGGCACAGGATGAGCTCAGAAGAGTGAAGATGTACTGATTCTGGGAAGGAGAATTACTGGCAAACCGATTATGTGTAATAAAATTAAAGAACGTGATTTTGAAGAAAGAATGAATCTGAATACTAGTTTTATTCCTTTTTCTAATCCCAATTTATTAAGGAAACAGTTTTATATATCAACGTAACAATCTAGAACCTGTCAGATAGCAACTCCCATTATCTCTCACTATTAGCTATGTGCTGGCTAGAGCTGATGGAAATTGCAATCCAACAATGGCTAGAGGGCTAAACTTCACCCATTCCACAAATATGCACTTATTTTGAAATGTAAGCCTCACAAAACTCAGTGAGTCCTACAACTTAATAAAAATCGAAAGGTATTATTATCGTTCTCAGAGTTTAGACAGCCCACTTGCCTATTATTTCACCTAATAATTCATTTAGGGATGTGTGACAAGAGGTATGCAGCCAGATTGAGGCCAATGAGAAACAGGAGAGGTATGAGGTTCACATAAATATAAAAAACCCTAATTCTGAAAAGCCAGATTGGACAACCCTGCTTCCTTCAAACCCATGAGTACTGAGTATATTTAGCAGTCACAGAATAGGAAAACTGGGAGTGAGGGGAATGGCATGGCCTGCTGACTGTTGAGTATATTCAATAGCAAAGTGGGACTAAGGAAGGATGTTCTGAATCTAAGAAGGGAAAATCTGGACATGGAAAATTGATTTCATTGTCTGACCAGACCAGGCTTTAGATGTGCATCAGATCTGAAAACAAATTCAGAGATATTTGGGATCCAGCCAAGGAAAGGGAAGTATGGTATCAATAGATGACGAATCTGGATCATTTTTTTTTTAGTGATGAGACGCTAATGAATGGTTATTATAGTAATTGTGTTCTAACTGTGTATTAGATTAGGATATTAATTGTTTTATATTGGTGCATTGAATTTTGCTGTGTCCTGTGTCTTGTGAACCGCTGTGAGTCGCCTCCGGGCTGAGAACAGCGGTATAGAAGTAAAGTAAATAAATAATAAATAAATAAATGGTTCCAAATAGATAGGAGTTCATTACAAAGAAGAAAAGAGCAAAGGCAAAGAAGAGGCTGAGACTCAGAAATGCTCATTTTCCATCTTTTCCCTTTTTTGGCCCAGCTTCTGACACTGAGGCTCACCAGACAAAATGGTGGAACTGCTCTATGAATGTTTGATAGGGACATTTTTGCTTATAGTTGAAAAAAATGTATAAAGCAATGGGGATTCTTCCATGGCTGAAAAGTGCAGTGTAAACAGTATTCCGCTTTTATTTCGCTAAGTCAATAAAAACAGTAAAGTTAAACATTCTGTGTTTCAAACTTGAATATGCTGACAACAATACTTACAACAGTGCTACCTTGAGAGGAATATAGTACATTTCCATGGGAGTCTGGATAAGTTCAGTTGCATCAGGTGCATATTTATTCAATTCTATTAGTAGCTTTTGCTTTTTAAACTGGAGAAAAAGATACAATAATAGAAGTCAATGAACAATGCCTAGGTTTATGTGCCCTACCTATCAGCATGCTGCCTACAGAAAGTACTATTTTGGACTATATTCAGACAGATACATTCCTGGCCTAAATCCACTTGCAAGTTTCACCAAGAGTGAGCACACTAAATCAAGACCAACAATTTGTTCATTGAAAACATATATTTTACATTAATTATATCTTCCATTATCTCTCTAAAAAGAGGTACAAGGTGACTTTAAAACACTAAAAACAATACAATATATACCTAAAAACGCACAGAAACATTATTCTTCAAGCAACCAAAGAAGTTACTATATACATGGACATTGTTTGATGGCCAATACAGAAATCAAATAGACAACATAATTGGAAGCAGAAGATGGAGTAGTTCTCCATTCTCATTACAAAACAAGACCAGGAGCAGATCAAAAACTGCTAATATCAAAATTAGAGCAAAGCTAAAGAAGAAAACTAGATCAATCAATGTGCCCAAATACAACCTGAAAAATATCCCCATAAAAATTTTAAATGATGTAAAAAAGTAGATTTGCACTATCAAGCCTAACTGAACAGGAGTGAACAGCTGCAATCGCTTCCCAAATAGGAAATGGCATAATTATTTACACGGGACCAAAATGGCAGACGCTCCAGAGCATCCTGTGACTTTTCTTAATGAGGAACAAGGCGACGCTGAGTGGCCTTCTCGTGTGTTACAGCAAGTAGGCCTTCTGTATGGTGTGGTCGCAATCGAGTCCATTTATCCCAATTGACTCACATACCCTGTGTAAATGCGCCCAAAGTTAGGGTACTGTACAAGTATCTGTTCCATAATCTCACTCTTCTCTTAGGTTACAAAAATGCATATGGATGAAAATTCAGCAAACAAAAGATATGGTGTCCATGGACCAATCCAATTATATTATTCTGCTCTCTTCCAACCAATTAATATTTTATTCCCCATTTCCCATTTTTGTTTGTGATATTTTGCTTCAATGTTCTTTAAATGTGAAATAATGTACTATAACTACTATAAAAAACCAGAATAGTAATATTCACTATACAGAAACAGGTATCCATCTATAGCAAATGAACAAGTCATAAAGCAAATGGAATAAACCATCATCTAAAATACTAGAAATAGAAAACACTCTATTAGAATTGAAAGCCAGGAAGGAGAAGACAGTACACAGAAAATAAACTTTCATAAATGCTAACAAAAACTGAACCCAAGATGCCCTCTTGCTTGCTTACCAGCACTTTGTTGTAGTCCTGAATGGCCAAATAGAGGGCTACAGCAGTCAGCATGTCTGTTATCTGAAGAAAAGATCACCAACAATAACAAAACAGTTGAAAATATAAAATATCACAATGCATCATTGATATAAAGGCTATTGTAGGCAACTTACTGGCAATCTGCCTAAATACACTGTAGATGAAATCATATTGAAAGATACCTTTCTAGTAAAGGTAAAGGTTTCCCCTCGAGATTAAATCTAGTTGCCGAAGAGGTACCTATTGATGTATGCACGTTTGCATGTTTTCCAACTGTTATGTTGACAGAAGGGAGCTCACCCTGCTTCCCAGATTCAAACCGCCGACATTTCGGTCAGCAAGATTAGCAGCTCAGCGGTTTAACCGGCTGTGCCACTAAGGGCTCCTTTCTAGTTCAGGTTAAAATTTATAGTATGCGCATTATCATTAGTCCATTAACTTCCCAAGGACCAAGAAAGCAGAAAACCTTGAAAACACAAATTCATCAAGCTTCTTATAACTTCAAAGAAAATGTCCCTTCATACAATCATGTTATAGCTGCATCACAGTCATAGTAACCTAGCACTTTGCTTGTGCATAGAAAAAAATTATTTATTTATTTATTTCGAGGTTTTATATACCGACCCTCTCACCTTCAAAGAGGGATGCAGGCTTTTCCACTCAGGTTCCTTTTTAATTTGGATTTGGTTAAAAAAAAAAAAAAGAAACTCCTAGGATGCATCTATGATGTAAAATTAATCCACTTCAGTTGCCTTGGTTCAATGTTATGGAGTCATGGGGGCTGCAGTTTTACAAGGTCTTCAGTCTTCTCTGCCAAAGAATACCGATGCCTCACCAAACTACAAATCCCAGGATTGCATAGCATTGAGCCATGAAAATTAAATTAGAGATGATGTCCCTCAAATAGGAGCTCCAGGTTCTCCTGAAGTAGCTTTTCCTTTTGCTTTGGCCCAGCACTAAGGTTACCATATTACACAAAACTAATGTGCACCCTAATTTTGGTGAGATAATTTAGCCAAAATGGTGAACATTAGAATCAAGTAAATATGTCTGGGAAACTACAGTTTACATAGTCTGGGGAATAAGAAATAAGCTCTGAAAGAAAGGCAATAATGCTATGGATAAAAATTAAAGCCATACTCACCATAAATACTAGTTCAGCATAATCAACCAGGAAGTGAAACAGATATATTATTAGTGGAGTCTATGGGAGAAAAAGATTTTTAAAAAGCAATTAATCTTCACAACCTGCTTTCAGATCAAACTGGATGTTTTAAACAGTCTTATTTCCCGAAGATGACCCCCATCCTCACACACAAACACTACACTACAGACTTTGTGCAAAAGGTTATATTACCTTTTCATTGTATGACATTAAAATGTATACTCAAAAGCACTAATTTAGATGCAATATCTAGGGAAATTATTTTACCAAGAGAAGATAAATATCTCATTCCATAGGCTGCTAAGCACAGGAATAGTTTTAGATTGAAATGTTGGATGATGCATTCATACAAAGAGGTCCAAACATTCAAAAAGGAGACAGATAGTAGTAATGGGAGATTTCAGCCACTCTTATACTGTTGGAAATCAAACTCAGTCAAGAAGGGAAATCCAACAAATTCCTGACAAGTCTTACAGTATATGGAAGCAGCAGCAATGAAATTAATTACTTTGAGTTGGAGCCTATGTAATACAGATTAATTTGTGAGAAGGGGATAGCAGAATTGTGCATAGACCTGTTTGCCACCCAGTCCTCCTGTATTACTTGTGTGTACAAATATGTGCACATAGCAACTACAGGGAGGTAGAAATAGGATTCTCTTGACCCCTATGGGGATCCCATTACATTCATCCCTGAAGCATCATGTAGGGAAAGGATTTATACCCTTCAGAATTTCTCCTTCAAGAGTTTCAGGATGAAAAAAGCATTAAATTTATAAAAAAATTGACGCATTGCATACTTACTTCATGAAAGACATCTCCAGAATAGGGAGACACGCCCAAGTCAAGTAAGGCAAGCCCCTCAACCACTGAAAAAGAGAAAAATCAATAAATCACACCAAGGCTGAAGACTGAATAAACACGAGTGAATGTCCATTGTTTTCAGAGAGAAAAATCACTCCTTGGAGACCCAGAGCTCGAACATTCACAAAAGATAGCCATCCTATGTGGGAAGATATCAAAGAAGGGGTGAATGCAATTAATCCTTCCATCACAATTATCAAAAAATTCTCCCAGTACTCAGATCAAAACCTATCCTCTTTAAACTTCAAATTCTTATATTTGGATTTGACTATTGGCCTAGTAAAAAGTAAGTCTTTCCTCTCTTCTATTTGACAATTCCTATATTTGAAAGACTGCTGTCGTGTTTCTCTCTTGGCCTTTTTTTCTCCAAGCTGAACTTGACCAAGTTCTCTTTCTCATAGGATTTACTTTGTCATTTTTATATTACGGCCACTATTTTACAATACCACTGCATATAATGGAACTTGATCACTCACAGATTTTAGTATCCTAGAACCAAACACTTCCTTTTCAGTTTTCAACACAGGATCCCTTTTCTGCTGGTAATAACCATTCATTCATTCAACAAATGATTATGGTGATGATGATAATGATAATAATAATGGAGCATTTCTTATTACGTATTCCCATATCCAAAATACTCCAAAATCATCCACATCTAGGTATCTAGGATAGTGAAACCTTTGCTTTCTGATGGTACACAAACTTTGTTTCATGAATAAACTTATTTAAAAACGTGAATAAAATCACTTTTAGGCTATGTATATGAGGTGCATATGAAACATAAATCAATTTTGTGTTTTGACTTGGGTCCCATCTTCAAGATATCTCATTAAATATGTATGTGGGCATTCCAAAATCTGAGGGTGCATCTGCACTGTAGAACAGGTGCAGTTTGAAATCACTTTATCTGCCATAACGAAATGCTCAGGAATCTTGGGAGTTGTGGTTTGATGAGACACCAGCACTCTTTGGTAGAAGTTAAAAACCTTGTAAAGTTACAACTCTCATGATTCCATAACATTGAGCCTCAGCAATTCAATGGTGTCAAACTGCATTAGTTCTGCAGTTTAGCTCACCCTAAAGCCCAAAACACTTCTGATGCCAGGCATTTCAAATAAGGAACATTCACACCAACAAAGAACCTCATTACAGAGCATGGATCCATGTTAAATCAGGTTTCCCCCTCCTGCAGAATTCTGGAGCTTGTAGTTTAGGGAGGGGTCTTTAAAGTGCTCAGCTAAACAGATCCTGGGACTCACTAAACTACAAATCCCAGAATTCTACAGGAGGCAGAAACCCAATTTAAAGTGGACCGATGCTCTAGTGTAATGAAGCTATTAGTTTTTCTGACAGAGTTATATAGTTCTGTATCCTTGAATGCGAGGATAAATCTAAAAGGTGGGGTTTCCCACCACTAATATATTCCAGTGTCAATTTATGGTCTAATCTGTATCCAAATTGTTAGACTGAGCAATGAGAAGAGGATGCAATAAATAAAAACTTATTATTATTATTATTACTACTATTACTATTATTCCAAGCACGGTTGGTGAGAACGAGAGAGCAGGCCTTCTGTCTCATTGGCTGCCCCTTCACTCCGGAACTCCCTGCCCAGGGAAGCCAGATTGGCCCCCTCTCTGCTGTCTTCCCCGGGGCTGCCTAAAACCTTTCTATTCAGGCTTTTAAAGATGAAGGCATTTAAGATCTAGTCAGGGGGTGCTATGGTTTTAGCTTTGAATATGCATCAAATATGTTTGGATGGTTTAAACTGTAAATCTGTTAATACTGGTTATATTTCATTCTGTCTTAATATTTGTATATTTTAAATGTTGTGCTAATTTTGTTACGTCAAGCCACTTTGGGAAGAAGGAGAAGGGGAAGGGGAAGGGGAAGGAGGAGGAGGAGGAGGAGGAGAAGGAGAAGGAGAAGGAGAAGGAGAAGAAGACGACGACTCTGGCACAAGCCAGTAAAGGTGGTCCCAGTGGTGATCGGCACACTGGGTGCACTGCCTAAAGACCTTGGCCTGCACTTAAAAACAATTGGCGCTGACAAGATTACCATCTGCCAGCTGCAGAAGGCCAAGTTACTGGGATCTGCACACATCATTCGCTGATACATCACACAGTCCTAGACACTTGTGAAGTCTCCGACGTGCGATCCAATACAACAGCCAGCAGAGTGATCTTGTCCACTGTGGACTCATTTTGTTGTGTTTCTAATAATAATAATAATAATAATAATAATAATAATAATAATAATAGACTTTGGCCTGCACTTAGACACAATCACAGCTGACAAAATTACCATCTGCAAAAGGCCACCCTACACAGATCTGCACACATTATTTGACAATGCATCACACAGTTCTAGACACTTGGGAATTGTCCGACGTTAAACTACTCTGGGACTTCCGAATTCAGACTGACAAGAGTTTTGGAGCACAAGACTCCAAAACATTGTTTGTTGATGTTGCAATCCCAGGTGACAGCAGGATTGAAGAGGAACAACTGGAAAAGCTGACAAGATATGAGGATTTAAAGATCGAACTGCAAAGACTCTGGCACAAGCCAGTCAAGGTGGTCCCAGTGGTGATCGGCACACTGGGTGCAGTGCCTAAAGACCTTGGCCTGCACTTAAACACAATCGGCTGACAAAATTACCATCTGCCAGCTGCAAAAGGCCACCTTACTGGGATCTGCACGCATTATTCGCTGATACATCACACAGTCCTAGACACTTGGGAAGTGTCCGACGTGTGATCCAATACAACAGCCAGCAGAGTGATCTTGTTTGCTGTGGACTCATCTTGTTGTGTTTCAAATAATAATAAAAATCTAGTCTATTAGGTATCCCAGTGGTGATCGGCACACTGGATGCAGTGCCTAAAGACCTTGGCCTGCACTTAAACACAATCTGCGCTGACAAAATTAAATCTGTCAGCAGCAAAATCTGTCAACTGCAAAAGGCCGCCCTACCACGATCTGCATGCATTATTGGCCGATGCATCACACAGTCCTAGACACTTGGGAAATGTATGACGTGTGATCCAATATAACAACCAGCAGAGTGATCTTGTTTGCTGTGTACTAATCTTGTTATGTTTCAAATTATTATTATTATCACATTCTTAGCTGCTGCAAGAAGATCACACAGACAGACTACAAGCAGAGGCATAACACAGTTGCTCAGATGATTCATTGGAACTTGTGCCACAAATGCCATCTGCCTGCGACAAAGAACTGGTGGGATCACAAGCCTGAAAAAGTTACAGAAAATGAACATGTCAAATTACTCTGGGACTTCCAAAGTCAGACAGACAGAGTTTTGGAGCACAATACTCCTGACCTCACAATCATGTTAAAAAACAAAATATGGATTGTTGATGTTGCAATCTCAGGTTATTTATTTGTCGTGTCAGGACAACCAGTCAAATGATATTGTCTTTCCACAGATATATAACCCTTTTTCCTAGTTCCAACAGACCTCACTACCTCTGAGGATGCTTGCCATAGATGCAGGTGAAACGTCAGGAGAGAATGCCTCTAGACCATGGCCATATAGCCGAAAAAACCTACAACAACCCAAGTATGGATCGTGGATGTTGCAATCCCAGGTGACAGCAGGATTGAAGAGAAACAACTGGAAAAGCTGACACGATATGAGGATTTAAAGATCGAACTGCAAAGACTCTGGCACAAGCCAGTCAAGGCGGTCCCAGTGGTGATCGGCACACTGGGTGCAGTGCCTAAAGACCTTGGCCTGCACTTAAAAACAATTGGCACTGACAAAATTACCATCTGTCAGCTATTTGGATCTGCACACATTATTTGACAATACATCACATAGTCCTAGACACTTGGGAAGTATCTGATGTGTGAGCCAGTACTAATCTTGTTATGTATCAAACAACAACAACAAGACTTGCATCAAATAACAACAATAGCATCACAGGAGCCCTGCCTGAACGCATCCCGGTTTCCCCTCAACATTAACTGAAAGGTCCAAGGAAGTGCACATCTACACGGTGGAACTAATGCAGTTTGAGACTTGAACTGCTTTAATCTGTTTGTTTGTTTTGTTCTGTTAGAAATGTAACACAATGGTCTGGTTGCTGATGACACGATAAATGAAATAAATCTCTTGACAAAATACCTCTATCAATCTCTAGGTTCTCCAATGCAACTTTATGACATGGTGGGACCGCAATTCAAGCAATTTCGTGGTGTTTTGTTGTATGCACAATATCTCTACGAATTTTCTATGTCCTTCAATGCAGTTTTATGGCTACTACTGTCTTATGTTGGCGGACCAAACAACTCCTAGAAAGGATACCTCTAGGAAACTCTAGGTCCTTCGGCACAACTCTATAATATGGGAAGAGACCTCAAAAACAATTGCAATTTGATGACCCAATGTCATTTCATGAAATAGGATTATTTGTTGGTTGTTGTTCATTCGTTCAGTCGTCTCTGACTCCTCGTGACCTCATGGACCAGCCCACGCCAGAGCTCCCTGTCGGCCGTCACCACCCCCAGCTCCTTCAAGGTCAGTCCAGTCACTTCAAGGATGCCATCCATCCATCTTGCCCTTGGTCGGCCCCTCTTCCTTTTGTCTTCCATTTTCCCCAGCATAATTGTCTTCTCTAGGCTTTGCTGTCTCCTCATGATGTGGCCAAAGGACTTCAACTTTGTCTCTATTTGTTGGTAGCCAAGGTAATTCTCTACAGGGGATGCAGGTGTCCGAAGAAAGAACGAAAGAGCGCAAGGACAGGAAAAACAACGGCCGATCGAAAAGTGTCCGAACAGGTACCTGAGCCAAAAAGGTTAATAAACAACCAGAGAGTGCGGATTTTTTTCCGGAGGGATAATCGCCACCAACCGGAGGCAAACAACGCGCAACAATGGGATGATGACGCAAGTGGCTGTCCTGCCAAAACGTCTTCGGAACGTACATCAATACAAAAGAAAGGAATGTATTTGAACTGGGTTGTGTGTCCATAGAA